CCTCCTCCTCCTCCTCCTCCTCCTCTCCTTTCCCCCAAACCTCCTTCCCTTCTAACCCTTCAACCCTATCTCGAAATGAAGGAAGGGTCAAGAACTTTCAACGGAGCCAAAAAGAGACTCATTCTGGATTTCTCGCCTTAGCCAGGGGGTGAGTCTAGACAGCCTCAAAGGAGCCCCCCCCTCCTCCAGCATTTGGCGTTCGACGAATACAACTTTTAATTGTCAAACTGTGGAGAAGGTTGTCCCCAAATGCTGGAGACTCTGCAGAGGAAATCGCTCATCGTCAATGCCCACAAACATGCACCTCCAGCCACAGCTCAGCCACTGTGCAGAGCGCTGCACAATCACACACAGAGAGACACAGACACAAACCAACACCTCCAGTTCCATGTCGAAAGCTGGTAGGACAGCCTCGGCGGAGGAGCTGTGGCGAACGCAACCATCGGTAGCTGACGAGCTTAAAAAAACACCTTGCACAACTCTCCCCGGCCTACACAAGCGGATTGCGGTTGTCAGCTTCCCCTGGCCTCCGTCCCACAAGAGTCAGCACGCCTTTTGCGACGTCTGCCAGTTCCCAGGTTCAAACCACTGCAGCGTAGCACCTTCTCGGCTTTTATGATTTTTATTAGCCGGAAAAACTGGTCGGGCCAGAAGGATGCGAGACTCCTTGGCATCGGCTTTTCAGTGGTGTGTGTGTGGAAATCGGGCACGTCAGGAAGAAAGATGGCCTGGGGATGGGGTGGGGTGTGGGCTTTAATGCCTCGGAAGGGTAAGAGCGATGCAGAACGGGTCTTCCGGGAAGATTTGGCCGCTGCCTCGAGAACCAGTCGCGAGCCACATTTAAAAAAAACCGTTTAGCTGAAAGAGATGAAGCCGTCGGGTCTTTTAGCATCCGTTCCCTGTTCGGTTTTCTGCCGAGTCTACTTTTGCACGTCGAGGGTTTTTTGTTCGTGCCTGTGAGCCTGCGGAACTCCCTGCCTCATGAAATCAGGTCGGCCACCTTTTCCTGATGTGCTTTGCCAACCGGTTAAGACATTCCTAACCGGAGAAGGCGTTTGATGCACAGGCAGCCCACGGTGAGCTGATGTAATCGGCCAGCGATTCCTGAACCTTGATTGCCTTCTCTTTTTCCCTTTTGTGCCTTTTCAATTATATATATATATATATATATATATA